TTTTTTTGTAATCAGTGTTTCAGTGTAATTGGTGTCATATTCGAAAGCTGAGTAAGTTATTATAAAAAGTGATAGTGACTCTACTTGCTAAAATTTTTATTTACTGCTGACATGAGCAATACAGGTTATCCTCTTCAGTTTGAAGCACTGAATAAAAGTTCAGACTAGCTACAGGGGAACATTCACTTACAAAAAGTTTTGTTTACAATCGGCTCGCCGATGCCCATAGCAGCCATCCAGGCACCTTCGCCCATGCAGGCACCCATTGAGCGGCCTGCTTATAGCCGTTGTAATTGAGCAGGAACGATACGCTGCGCATACTTGGAGGATCCCGACCTGCGTTGATAACTTACATATTATTCGATTGTTTAGAGAATGACCACATACCGTCCGTGTCTCGAAAGCCATCGTCGCCCAAATCTGCAGTAATCAAAGCCAGTCCACTTTTTTCCATTCTTCGGTCATCAGAGGCAAGTGCTACAACTGTTTTACCGGGACACTCACTTGATTCTCCTTTTTCGAAAAAATCGATGCGCTTAATAAGAACAGCTTTAGACAGGCAATACGTCGCACACGAAAGTACAAAATGTTTTTGTAGAACACTAGAAAATGTGAGCATAAAAGAAGGGAAAATTTCGAAATTCACCTCGTCTTTCTTTGATTCCAACATACCGGTCAGGAACTCAGTACGAACAGCCCCGGCCAGAGCGACGCAACACAGACATTTTTAGACTAGAATTTGTAAAGTTTCACGACTGTGATAGCATGACGTAGAATTACTATATGCACACCTTGAGTTCAAACGCCATATCTGCTGACATTCTATCCAATGCCTGCTTCCCAATTCCATACGGTACGTTGAACAAGTACCTAAATCCTGTTCTATGTCGATACCACTGATGCCTTTCCTACCTGAGACCACCCGGTGAACTGACGTTGACGATGAGACCTTTACGTTCTTTACCATCAGCCGAACCGCATAAACAGAGCAGTAGTAGTGATTTCTGAATTGCTCAAATTTACAAGGAAAACCAACTGTTCACTTCTTGGTAGATCACACGATTAGGCTGATGCAAAGCCAAAGCAGGTTTTGCATATTTTCACTTCCAAAGAGACGTGAATCC